CACACTCACACCCTATTAACTTAATGTAAGAAAATGACGGTTATTTTTGTTAATGATATTTTTAATTCTTTTTCAAACAAGACAATTAAATAGCTTTCTGATTTCGACAAGAAACCCATCAGTTTTGAGTCAAAATCCTCTAATAAATCGTTGCTTTTCTGCAAGGAATCACTGGGTTCTGAAATTTAGACGAGCCAATTCTCATCATATTCCAACTAGATAATTTAACAATCAATTTACAACACATTTTCAGCAATTTGCTCAAGTGTCTTAGAAGATCACGAATTTTTCTAGTTCAATGTTTTATCCACGCACGAATTTGATTGTGTGGCTAGAAGGACTGTTTTAAATGTACGATTGTTTAATATATAGATGTTGATTTTTTCAAACTAGAATCAGGGGCGTAAGTCAGTTGTCAGAGGAGGGGGTGCAGGGGGGCCTAACCCTAATTTTTCTATTTCAATGGTCAAAAAAAGTGAAATTTCTAGAAGCAAGGGGGGCATAAACCCCTTTTTACTATTAGTTTTCAGAAGCAGGGGAGGAGATGCCGCGCCCACGCACCTCCCCCTATTTCTGTCACTGACTAGAATTGCAATCTATATTTAAATTTCACTTACGATTCAATTTCTGTTCGACATCGATTCAAAATATAACTACGCCAAGAAAGACAATAAAAAGTGAAGTTATAATGATTTTTTTGAGAGTACACAGTAAATGAACTTTTTATGACTTATTTGAACATATACAGAGAAATTAACAAATATTAGTTAAGAAATATTCCAGTCTTAATCTATCAACTACAAAAAAAACGTGCGCTCGTCTACTCTCTATTGCTTAGACTATTAGAATGAGATTACATGTTAGATTACTTAGATACTATTGCTAGGATGTTGACATCTTTTTCGATACTACCATATTGCATTATTTTCATAAATACCTAGAAACATTCATATTCTTTTTTCATTAACATATTATCTATCGGATTTAGCAGTGAAGTGAACTTCAATCCCTTCTAAGTTAAACTACTCTCACACATAAGTTTGACAAACTTGCTGCTTGTCTTAGACTAATAGTTAAACTACTCAAATATTTTGTTCTAGTGCCAAACAACACAAAATCTGTTTCTGAATTATACTACAAAGCAGCGTTTTTTTTTCTTAATCTGAATTTATTTCCATCAGTTTCACTAACTACCGATGAATATCGAATTCGAAATCAACGCATTTCAACAAGATTATTTATCTTTTTATTAACTATATCGTTATCTATTCTTCTCTTATATACTTCACTGATAAATATTACAGAAACAGTTAGTGTCAAAGCACCTTCGATTACAGAATATGAACAACTCTATAACTCATATAGTCAAACATTAACATGTGAATGCACACAAGTATCAATCAATTATGAAAAGTTTATTCAAGTTCAATACACATTACATCAAGTATGTCATAGTGACTTCACTACACAAAAATGGATTAATTACCTTACCCACTCGCCGGGAAGCAGTGGAACATTTTATGATACCTTCCGAGTGATGGGCACATTTACATTTCAAGCGTTAGTTACACTTTGTGTCCTAGTTGATCAAACAATATCAAATCATTTAAGTCAGTTCAATTCAGGTCAATATGTAAGTGCATTTGTAACACCTTCAAATGTATTTCAACTACAAGCTGATGCATTTATATCTCAATTTAAATCAGCAACAAGAAATGATTTTTTATTATCACTTGCTATGAT